CAACACCATTCGTCAGTTGGTGAGGAAATTTGAACAAACAGGTGAAGTTGAAGACATGCCAAGGTCAGGCCGTGTTTGAACTGTTCGTACTCCGGAAAATATCGAGAGAGTTCGAGAAAGTGTAGTGGAGCGCCCTGAGACGTCTACCAGACATCGTTCTGAAGAACTGGGCATTCGGCGCACGTCACTATGCACTATTTTAATAAATAATATTGAAAAAAATCAAAAAACACGCTTTTATAGCCAACCGTACTAAAAGGTATAAAATAATTTTTGATTATAAAGAGTTTATGTTACAATAAAAAATGCCGGCACAATCGATCATGATGACCTGAAAATAAAATTATAATAAAATTTAAGTTATTAACAGATTAATTGAATTCACAGTAAAATGCTTGATACATCAAATGTTTCTATTGCCAACTATCTATGAGAGGAGAGTCCTGATAATCTATTAAAATGCACCCCACGCTTTTTACTCTAAATTGAACTATTCTGTTAATAACTTAAATTTTATTATAATTTTATTTCGAGCTCATCAATTATGATTGATTGTTCGACCATCTACTACTGTGATATAAAGTTTCCCTGTTAACCTAGAGCAATCAAATTCTTCAATCCGAATACCGCCTAAAGATCTTGCACGACTTAGGGTGGATTTCACAATTTAACAAACCATTATTCTGCACCAATAGGGTACGAGTACCAAACAGTCCGTTGAATATACCCAATCAGCCTCAAGATCTCTCCGTCAAATTTTTGGCAGGAAATAGCATCAAAGTATTCAAAACAAAACACAAAACACTGTAAAATATGAAGTGACAGCTTGCCATTGAAATCTTTTCAGTTTATTAAATATTATTAAATTATGTAAAACTGAGCCAACATTTTAAAAAATTCTTGATGTCTGAGTAAAAACTATTTTTTCAGATTAGCTGAAGGTTTTTCCATGTTTACTGCAACTTTTGTAATCCATATGTGATTATATCACCTACTGTGTGCTTATAGTTTAACCTATATTTTCAAACTTGCACTTCCAAACCCTTACATCAAAAAGCCTTTTCACTCAAATTTTTGTCAGGTGTTGCATTTCAACACATTCATACTCTTCTTTCCAGTTCCTCAACGATATTTTAACCCCACTGGTCCGAAACTGTTCAACATTCATACATACAATTGCACTTGCAGTTTTTTGTTTTAATTTCAATGTATAATCAGTCGCACCATCGGTGATGGTACATTCAACATAACCACGTATTTAGGGGTTCGTACAGATTTAACGTGTACACGACAGTGTAATGTATTTCTTCACAAAAAAAATCTTGGACGGAGCACTTTTATACGGAAATTTGTTGTTAAAAAATTCCATTTTTCACACATGACAAAACAAGTGATCACAAAACATAGAATACAGTGACGTAGGAGAATAGACCAAAGGAGATCGGAATTGACATTTGAAATTAGTGTCTCATAATACTAGTGATGGGAGAATAAATACATTTGTGATCAGTGGAATGTATTGGAACGGTTAAAAAATATGAATTGAATCGTTTTTACGTTATCTCGACTGAAAAACTGGAATATCTGCTCTGTTTCTGCATATATATTTTTTGTGGTATTGTTGCATAAAGTAGTTGGTTCACGAACTAGTTCCTAGAACTGAACGCAACTTAATGAAACGAACTGGAAAGCACATCACTTTTTCAAGTAATCCAAGAACGGACAAATTGTCATTTCATCACACTAGTGATGGGAGAATCGAAAGCTTGAGATTCACTTTGATTCTGTGGTTCAGAGATATAGTGTTTTCTTCTGATAAAACTAGGGCAGTTTTTGTGTTTAAAATACTCTACCTTAGTTAATACCTTTGATCCTAAAGTTGCTCCCATAATAATATTAATCAACTTTCATGTCGTGTCGCGTATTTCGAAACGATGTCGAGGGCCGGCAGGGGAAAATCTTTCTCTGAGAACTGAAAATCATTAAACGCGCTGTTTTCAGTCTATTTTATTCCTATCCCTTGGGGACGTACAGAATGAAGAAAAGACTACAGTGCTCAGTGGCCACTCAGTGGCTCAGTGCTCGTCTGTAATGATAATATTCAAATACTACTAAACACCTAAATAGCTTTCTGGCCTTTCAATTTCGAAGCTACCAGTCCTCGCTTAGAGATGGTAGCACAGTTAAGGATAGACTCGGGGTATACGATTACGGATGTTTATGATTCCTCTCGATATCGATATATCGTCATGAAACTATCGATGCGTAAAGATCGATGTTCTACGTCCGATGTATCGATGTTTTCGATACATCAATGTATCGTCTATCGACGCCATCCCTATATTGTATCCCCACCAGTCACCAGTCAAAAACCTTAACCTCCAATATTTTATCACTATTTATAATTCTTTTTAGCTCTTATTTTTCAGTAATTACTAATAATTTTAGGTCTATGTCTACAGTAATTGCATTATGCACCTCGGAGATGTAGGGATTAACATGTTTTACACATATCGGGGTTTTAGGATGGGGACGACATACTGTTTTGATTGCTTTGAAGAAATTCATTAACCCACGAATTTATAACAAATGTATGATGAAAAGAGAGATGAGGAATTGGTTGGAATACATTTTATATTTTATTTTCTTGCAAATCCGCACAATTCAACAGGTATGTGTAGCTATAATGATCACATATACACACAGTATATTGAACTTAACAAATTTCGAGATTGCCATGAATTAACAAACGACCAAACCTGCTGCCAAATTTAACAGCTAGAAAATCGACCTATTATTTCTCCCATTCCCATTAGCTGAGGGGATAACGGATGGTCAAATGTACACCTATAACATAAATCAAAATACATGAATGTTGTCCTATTTTCTCTGTACAAAAGCATCATGTTGGAATCAAAAAGTGGTCTTGTTTATAATACAGTCCAATTTTCACGATTTTATTCAACATTTTAATATAAATCACTGATATTCTGAGACCTTTGACAGCTGTTATCAAATTATTGCATTGTCATCGGTCCTTGATACGTGTGCGAAGTTTCAAATTAATCAAACTTCCGGAAAAACTATGCATAAAGATTCCGCTATATACATACAGGCCAAGCTAATAAAAGCGTGTTAAAAAGAAGGGTCTACGAATTGATCCCTTTTTGGTCTATACCTCCAAATGTTTGAAAAACGCTTCCAGGATATTAAAATTTGTGTCGTTCGTGGTAAATATTGGGAAAATCTATTCATCTCAACTTTTATCATCATTGTAAATGCATAGCAACGAACTTGCTCCGCCAACTGACTTCGTCTAACAATTGATACATTTCACGCTTTTTCTCCTTGACCTCTTAACCCTCTACCAAATATTCGCGCCGTCTGGCGCTTCGTTTCTTCTAAACAAGAAAGTCTTATCTCCGTCGATATGGCAAAAACTTCATCATTCTTTACGAAAACGAAATAAGCTTCGGAAATTTACTTTCACCCCATTTCCAATATCTTGTGAGCTCTTAATATTATTTGTATAGGAATGTGGAAACGTTAGATTAGAACTTTCTCAGTCCAGGATTATCTTCAGGGTCGGCAAAAGCTTATTTTCAAACAGATATAGTTGTAGTTTGTTCTACTAACACCTGAAAACGACTCAAACGTTGCTAAAGATTATGGAGTAAAAATCGTTTCAGGTGTTTGCATCATCACAGGTCTTTCCTCACTCCTATTATCCACATATTTACATGCCTTCTGCAAATTCATGTTACAAAGCGGAGCCTGGAGCAGAAACAGCTGAAATTAGTTCACACTTGACACGTTTTACGACAGGGTTCGTGACGATATTTGAAACTATTAATTTGCGATGGAAGCCACATTAGGATTCCTAACTGAAGCCTCACCTGTCATATTAGACGTGATCGACCCCATGTCAGAGGCACTACAAATAATTTTCAACCTGGGGAGTAATTATGCATAAACTGTGCGTGAGACTGAAGATGTCAACACATCCCAAACACGCTTTCGATGTTTAACAACGTCGGTTGAGACAGTTATAATTTATTCCAAGCCACTGACGTAGTTGCTAAAAGAAGGGATAACCACTTCAAAAATACCTTGGTATCAGGGCCAATATTACAACGTATACAAAATGTCAACTTTAAGTATGTAGGGCACAACGTGATCCACGGCGCTAGTGTGGTAAGACGTCAAACTGTCAAAAGTTACGTACGTGCTTAAAGGTTTGGATCGAGTAGATAATTAGGAATTTCAATTTTTTGTGTCGGCCAATATTGTTTTGTATTCAAATTATCAATATTTGAATGGTACGCTTTTTTCTCCCTCAATTCCTTGGAACTATTCCGGTTATCTTGATTACGATTTTGTCTGAAGATGTTTTTTCCAAGTGATCCTACCACTGTTGATCTTTTTATTGCCCGCCTGAAATCCTCATGTCCCCTGCTATGTCAGAGTGGCACGTTATTCTATCGGATTTATGTTGATAAGAAGGTGCATAGATTAACGTTAGTTTCGAAGGGAGAATTTTTTATCCCCTACGTAAGGATCTATGTTGGGGCGGAGATTCAAGATGAAAGGTGTCGAGATGAGTTTGGAATAATTCCGTTTAGCCATTTGGCGTGGAATGGATGCTAAAACGGACCGACAGTGTTTTTGTTTGAATATACAATCATGTTGCTCCCCACACACACATTCTGAGGCATAGGGGTTAAACTTATCTTTTGCTTGAAACCATGTATACAGTCTGGGGAACACTTTCGCTTTTACTACGTTTAATGTTTGATTCGGTTTCTTTCCATAGTTGTGTTCAAACAGGACACCTGGGTATTGCTAGACCCCTAATTGCGTGAAAAATTGTATGAGTAGTTTTTTAAACAAATTTCAGTTTCAGCAGGACTACTTGGCTTTCTTTGTATTTGTTCATGGGGTTGAGGTATCATGACAAGTAGTCATAGTTGACCTCCGTGGCGACGTTGGCCTGAGGGCTCATGCTCTTCGACATGTTGTGGACGCAAATTCCAGCACAATGTGCCAAGAACTTGCAGAAATGTTCAGAGTGAGTCCTGAAACTATTCGTTTGCATCTTCATCAGCTAGGAAAGACGTGGAAGTTAAGCAAATGGGTCCCACACTAACTGACAAATGATAACAAATTAAGTCGTCTTACCATTTGTTCAACAAACATTTCACGCAACGCTAATGTACCATTTCTTAATCGGTTATTAACCTTCGACGAAAAATGGATCTTATATTCGAATTCTAAGAGTTCGTATCATTGGTTGTCGCCTACTGATTCGGTACCACACACGCCCAAGACTTCCTTGCACCCAAACAAGGTTTTGTTGTGTGTTTGGAGGACAGCAACTGGAATTGCCCATTATCAGTTTTTGGAAAGGGGTCAAACCTTCACTGCAAACTTGTATTGTGAGCAGCTTCAACGAGTACAAACAGCTTCCTTGATAAATCGGAAGAAAGTGATATTCTTGAAGGATAACACCAAGCCCCACACCGCAGAAGTGACCCGAGAAAAAATTTCATAACTCGGCTGGGAAACGTTACCACACCCGCCATATTCTCCCAACATTTCGCCCAGTGATTAGCACCTTTTTTTGACTCTTGACAACTGTATGAGGGGAGTTCTACAATACCGGCATACAAAAACTGGTTCCACGTTGGCAAAAGGTCATTGAATGTGATGGTAATTACTTCGACGAATAAATAGTGTCTTATTCTTTCTCAATAAAGATTTATGTTTTTCTACTAAAAACCGCACGACCTTATTTGGTTACCTGATATTTCCCTTTCCATCCTTGTTTTCTGTCAGGTTCAGGTAGAGTGACACAAGTTTTCACTTCGGCGTTTTCGATGCACAGCCATTCGGGCCTATTGAAGCCTATAAGCAGAAACGTACGTCGCTCGGGTTACCAATCCTTCAATTTCTGCTCCTGCTCCTTTATAGCGGACGTGCCCACGATTTTCCTTTCATATTTAATGAAATGCTCAGTGCTTGCTGTTATACCAATCTAGATATTTATTAGATTTGATCAACGTTCTGAGCAGACCGCAAAATTGCGTCTAGGTCATAAATTTTAATTCTCGCAGATCAACAGTAAAATCAGGCCTAAAAGTCACTTTTTAAGCAGAACCAATAAGGATTTGAAAAAATATTTATTTCTGAAAAATCTGTGGAATTCAGTTTTTCGCTAAACATAAGATTTAAACTTTTCATGTCGTAGAAACGGGAAGACCATATTTCCAATAAAAGTGGGCTTCACAAATGAGCTCGCCCTCCGTGAACAAACACGACATTGCATAAGAAGTATATGACCTCCTACATATTCCGAACCTCAAATAGGACTGTTACAACACAGTGCTTACCCAACGTTAGTTTGCATTAGCTGGACGTGATTTTTAGCGAAACCATCCTATTTATTTAGCACCAAAATCTGCAAACACATGTACATACATGAGTCGGTGATACACATGTTTGCGTTAGATTATTTCCAAATCTGCATTGACGTGGTAGTAATTGGTAAATAAATGGTGTATTATAGAGAAACGTGATTAAGCCTGATTGAACTGGCGCATAGGCTCAGTTAATTGCAGTCATGATATTTTTTTGTGGTATTGATACTGCGACATTCGATTTAGAGACTTTTTTAAACAATGCAGAAATGTCTGCAGCTTGCAACTTGTCACGAAACAAATGCCGGGAATAATACCTGTGGAGCAGTAAAATCGCTCTCGCTTATATGTGTTAAGCCGCGTACAGACCGAGATTCCAACTCAAGCCAAGGCACGTGCGGGTACAGATTTGGAGGTCTTCGAATGGGTGTGTAGGGCTCGAGTCAGCATAAACCAACGGTTTCCAAGGTCGGCGATGGCGTTCTTTACCCTCTTTCAGCCTCTCTTCGTTGGGGAATATTTTGCATGAGTGAAATTTATGTGACTATTCTGTGATAGTGCCCTGTGCAATTGGGAGTCAATCTTCCTGACGCTTTGTTTCAATTTTGGTTGCAGAAGGAAGCCCGATATTATATGATTATAAACCACATATGCTTGAATATGTGTATGTGGTTTGATTTGGCGCCCAAACCATGGAGTCATGTCAACACAAAAATCACAAGATAAGTTTCAGGTGTTACATTACGGAAGCCCAATTGACTTGCAATACACACAATGCACCTAGAGAGCACGAGGAGATATCGGAATAGCTGACTTGCAGCTGAGAACTGGAATGGAGAATTAAAGCTGCTAACAGCATTTGAAACAGTAAAAGTTGCTGGTAATACGATACAAAAGACATTGGATGACATTACTTTTGAACCTGGAGCTGCAATGGAGTTGCGATACACGTTCCTGGAATACTAAGAGCCGTTTCCTTTTCGTATTTACGTTGAAAAAATTGCCCGACACCAGACAATCGAGAAGAGTCCTCGGTGAGATATTATTTCCCTATTCCGCTGGAAAGTGCAGTGAATAGAGATGAGTCCGATAAGAATTTCTGTATAAGAGTGAGTGAGATATATCGCCATCCCTGTTACTTTTGTGAGCAGAAATATCTCCTCAAATTGACCCAGCGGCGGCTAGATTCTCCTCTTAGTGCTGAAATGGTTTACGTTCTCATTCATTCTGTATACTTGTGTAAAGTGTAATATGAAGACGATGATAGAATCATAAACATGCGGTTGTTGAAATAGGTATGCCATCAGTGCCTTTCTTAGCATCCCAACTGTCAAGTAATTTTTTTTTAAGAAGTGTACAAAATATTGTGTATGCCTACACTTGATATTACAAATGAGTCGTTTTAAAACCCTCATAGGCCATACAATTTGAATTTTCCGAAGACAAAAGCTGTTTGGCAAATAAACCAGTTTCAAAATCACTCCTTTAAAAAGTTGCATGTAAATGTTTGTCATATATCAGTCAGCTATAGGCAGCAGCGGTGGCGTAGTGGTAGCCGTTTTGGGCCTACTAATCAATCACCGTGAGCTGCGCGGGTGCGAATTCCGTCCCATGACAAATTCTTCTCTTGGCTATGGATATTGTGGTTGTCTGTAGGCGGTAGATGGTCTCTGACTCTCGAACTTGGAGGTAATTTCTGCACGTTGCATCTACACGTATTCTCTCGCTAGAATCCGTGTGGAGTGTCCCCCTTTTTGCTGTATTTCATATAGCCCCGCGGTACGATGCTCAGAAATCTTTTAATTAATATGGCCAGACCCTTCCCCATATCTGCCCCGATACCACAACGTTTAACATCCGCATCGGTGAATGAGTGGTTACTAGCTAAAGTAAAAAATACTCGCACAACCGTTACCACCGAGAGTACAAGGCCAAACAACTGGGCTGTGAAAAGCCTGTGACGTCACGCAGAGTAGGTTATGCACGTTCTTATGGTGTTTCGCGATGCTGGCTGGCAAGAGAGCAACGCCACCATTTCTGCGGTGTTGTCATATCTAGATTTGATATAGCAGTATCTCTACTAATTAGTTGTACCTCTCTGTGGGCGAATTTGCAAGATGTACTCGGGGCCTGCGCAGCTTCAGTGATGATGCGACTATTCTTTCTGATCTGTCTCAGTATGTCAAGAATACATTTTCGATATTACGTTCAATCTGATACTTGTGAAGTCTAATAATTGGAATATGTTGCAACCTTGGTAACACCTTGGAACATCAAACAGCGAACTAACATCTAATTCTGAACCTTTCTTATGTATCTTTTTGTGTTATGTAAACTGTAAATTATTGATGTTTTAAATTTATATTTGTGTCTCGCGATTGTTTAGCTAAGTTTCAAAATGCCTTACAAGTGCTGCGTTCCTAATTGTGCCGGTAATTACGGGAAGGGTCCAAAGGTACACGAATTTTCGTTTCCATTGAATGAAAACTGTCGTAAAAGATGGCTCAATGCAATTCCTCGTAGTGACTTAGTAGTCACAAAAAACACCAGAGTATGCAATTTGCACTTTGCCGAGGACAGCATCATTTGGGAAGCCACCTTCTATGACGAAAAGACAGATAGGACCATTACTGTACCCCTTAAGTACCAAAATAGAAGGCAGATGTAATTCCAAGTATCTTTGCAAATTGTCCGTAATATCTTTCAAAGGACATATCCAGCAGAAGAAGCCAACATGAGAAATTGAGGGACAAGGAACAAGAACAACTACTTAAAGCACTGCAAAGTAGCATTGATGATTATTCCTCCAATCCAAAATCAACAAGTTTTCAAAATTATTCAGACTTTGTCACAGTTTTCAGTTCATGGAAATGTCCATATGGGTGGCATAAAATTGTTCAGGATAAAGTTACTTTGTTTAAGTTAGAATATAAACCAGCACCCATCATAACTCACTCTGTAATAGTTGATAAAGATCTCAATGTAAAAACGTATATGTACTCCCAAGAATTGTTACTCAACTCAGGTAATATTAAAACTCCATTTTTGTTATCTAATATACACAACTTGGATGATGTTCTGAATGTTCTTTCTGAGAATGTAGATGCTTCGAGAGAATATTCAGGTAAAGACCAGTTCAGAGCCACTATCAACCGTGCTTACAATATTTTAATTAGCACAGATCTATTCACCGATGAAGAGACCCACATTGTCAATCAATTTATTTGTGAGCAACTAAAGCTTGTTATTAGTCGGAAGAACAGACACAGTTACTCATCAGGAGCAATAGTGTTTTGCTCTATGTTGTATACAATCAGTCCACATTCATATAGATTTATTAGGAGCCATTGAGCACTTATTTTACCACACCAAAATACTCTTAAGCCAATTTGTAATACATTGATGGTCGATCCGGTTCCCGATGAGAGATATAACTTTTTAGGCTATGCAAAGAACACCACTGTTCAACAAGCACTACATTTTTTATATAATTTACAAGTACCACTATATTATGCCTATAAAAATAGTAAATTGTCCAAATTTTCTTGTGAAGCAACGTTGTACGCCACTGGAGCTGCACACAACATCAGAAGTGGGACTTGGCTTTGTTAGGATTAAGTGGTTCATCAATGTCATATAAAGGAAGATATACGATCCTCAGTGGACAAACAGCCAGATACAATAGTTTGGTAGGAAGTATATGTTTGGTTAGGACCCTTTTTGACGGTTAACCCCAGTGATCGTTCCATGAAAAATGGATTCAAGTAAGATGACTCGTGTACCTTCCGTACATCACTACAGGGTAGGTTATCGTTGGCATGATCATCAGTTACACTTTGAAAGTGAAACAGTTAAATTACAAGGTAGCCTGTGATGAATACACAGGAAATTAGCTTGTGTAAATAATGACATTAGTCCAAATATTGTTGATCCCGCTTATCTGTGTTATCCTGTCTTTATTTCTATTTATAATTTGGGGGGAAAATATAACTAACCCAGTTGGTACGTGACCTCAGAGTATGGTTCTTTGTACTTTGGTCTTTAATACAAATGGTTGAGGCTTGGGCGTCACCTAGTTCCAAGAACTGGGAAAAAGAAATAAGCCGGGCCTTTCGACTCATTAAAACTTAAACTGACTGCCAAATGATGGATCTCTGAAGCTAAAGATAACAGAAATGCACAAGGCACACCAACGGTTATTGGACAAAGAAATTGTAAAAAAAGTCCTGAGAGACAAGCAAAAGGAACTTAGTTGATACTACCCCCAGCTAAATGACTTCGAGCAAAACCTGAAATTAAAGAAAAATCACCTTGGTAGGTGCTTGGCTATTACACTAATGGTGGTATTTATTCCCACACACGAGCTGCTGAGGAGCCTCTCGAAGAAAAGGCTACCCAAATGGAAGCTCCGAAGCAAAGGTAACCAAAGGTAGGATGTCCCAAATGTAAACCAGAACTCAAAGGTAGAACCCTTGAACAATGAGGGTTTAGGGAAATGGGGGACTTCTCCTCGTAGACGTGAGTCCTACCTACAGATCGTTTTGGAGTATTAATACAGACAGTTTCTCTCAGCTCGATGGTTGAGGTATAGCTGCAACAACGACTAAATATCCAAGAGGGTGAGAAAAGGGCCACGACAACAAAATTCACCAATGCAGGCCGATTTCTATCAGAACCTCCACAACCCGCCAGAAGCCCAGCATTGGGCGTGAAATTATTTCACTAACAAAGGTTGTGGCCATCGAACTGCTACACGAGAGCACAAAAACGACAGCCCCAAGTCTCGTTCAGTTCTCGAATTTATGGTCGGCAGAACTTATAAGA